TTAGATTGAGTTATTTAATTAGGTCCAATGACATTTCTTTCCATGTCACTGACAACTTTGATTGTACTTATTTTTAATACATTTGATAAAAATCTAGACTAAGATTCTACAAATATATTATCAGTTACATTTATTATCATTAATTTAAAAAGTTAAATTTTACAATACATTATAAAACACAATAACTTTAAGTCATTTCATATTGATTTTTTTAAACTTAACAAGATAGTAGTTATATGTATTATGTAATTAATGTTGTTTATAGGATATATCTATTGATTTAAGTTATATTACTATTGTACATGTTGTCATTTTAATTATTGAAGTAATAAATGCAAAAAAACTAAACTTATTTTATGATTGAATATTTATTTTATTATTTTTGTAATTAGGTATGTTCTCTGTCCTTTCACTATGTCATATTGTTATAATTTGAAATGATTACTGATCAAATACATTCGATATTAGTATTTATTTCTTTAACATCAATCTAACTGTAAAACAACGATGCTAAAGGTACATAAAATATTAGTGTCATTTTAATTTACAGTATACACTCAAAAACAAAAACAATATGGATGATACTTTGATACCAGGTGGTAATCTTTGATATTTAGATTGTTTGAAAAATTTATAACATAGAAATTCATTAATAGGTCAGTCATTCATGAAATGAGCTTGCAATAAATTGCACTTCCCAAATTTTTGGTATATTTTATTATGATACTTACCAATAGGGTAAAAAAATCGGCCTTTTATTAATCTGAATTTTTACATATTTGTATTTGTAATAATCTACGATAATCTGAGATTATCGATTAAAATACTCAAGAAAAAATATACATATGAACTAAAGCTCAATATTGAATACGTAATCAAAAAGTTATTTAATCTTGAGCTTCAGTTTATCCTAAGTTACCTGTTATGTGAAACTTATTTGAGTGGTCAAGTTCTTTATTTTTGTTAGGTTTTACGAAAAGTATTTTTTTAAGCGAATAAAAAAATTAAGAAAATATTCTTGAATGTTGTATGTTCTAATAAAAAAAAGTTTACGTGAGTGTCGTGGAGCACCTGGTTGGAAAATAAACATATGTTCACAAACTTCGCATCCACCTAATGCTATTGCCTATGAAGTCGCCACCGCGCATTCTAAATAATTGCACTGGTTCTGTTCCCATTTCACTGTGAACTTGTGTTCGCACCGCAATTTGTAGTATAAACTCTGTACATGCAATCAACCAAACCAGTATTATTTAGTTGTCGGGTGCACCGCGACGACTGCGCGTGCTGCTCCCGTTTGGTGCAACTTTGCACTGACGTCATTTGCTACATCTTACTGAGTTAACTGTGCTTCGATTACCGTAAGTGAATTTTTTACCTGCAGCTCGTACAGCTTTAAATACAACTGGGATTAGACTCCAGTGTGGAATATAAAGTACTTTGCTTTAAAGTTTTGTCGTAAAAGTGTGTGTCAGTGGGTTAGTTTAGAAAACTTACGAATTTATAAATAGTTTTAAAGTAACTAACCATTAAGGCTAGTGCTCGCCTATTGATCTAAATTCGTCCTATTTATTTTTTCTGACAAAAGGTCCTTGTGTGCTTTAAAAGCACTGGTAGTATGTATGATGATTAATTGATTAATTGGAAGGTAGGTAGGATTTATATGTTCTGCACTCCTCCTCCACATTAAGGTAAGAAAGCTTTTTCTTTACGTATTAATATAAAGTCATTAAAAAATTCAAGATTGAAATATATTGTCTAAGTTCTTTATTCATAAATCCTATGAATCATTTAATATAACTGAAACTATTTTACAGGCCACGCTCGTCGCGCGCCGTTCCAAGTACAACTACAAATGTAAGTAAGACACAAAAATACTAATTTAAAATCCCGTGTTATCAAGAGGGCCATTTTGTAATCATTTCTTCTATATTTAGGTTATCTCAAACTTCATAAACAAAACTGTCTAGGGTTGAAGTCCAGCGTACTACGCACAGTTTTTTTATCTAATATATAAAATTCTCGTGTCACGGTGTGCGTAATTGAACTACTCCGAATCGACTCGACCGATTTTCGTGAAATTTTATATGCATATTCAGTAGGTCTGAGAATCGGACAACATCTATTTTTCATCCCCCTAAATGTTAAGGGTGGTCCCTTACCCTTAAATTTCTTTTTCTTGGACATAATTTTTTGTTTTTTTTTTTATATATCATACAAACATACATACAACCTTACATTTTCACCCTTCTACTACCAACCCCTATTTATTTATGGCGGTACGAATTTCGTTGGGACACGTAGTAATAACATAAATATTGATTTGCGATAAAATAGGAACGATATAAAAAATCTGTTGTAAAAAGTCTCAAATGCAGTTAATTACGTTCATATAACAGAAAGTTTTGTTGATATCATGACATCCATCATCCAAAGGTGGAACAACTCGAGGTAAGTATGATTTTATTTATTTTTTAAGCATTTTACTGCTAGATGTTTAAATCTAAAGAAAAGTTTACCAGAAAAAAATCCACGCGGACCAGGCAGCGGACGGGACTCGAACCCGCATCCTTCGCTATCCGGGCGAATGCACTGACCAATTATGCTACCGCGGCCCTCACGGATCGCGTCGAAATTCCTCTAGCCATTCTTAAGCAGCAAGGCAGCGCCATCTCTTCGCATTATAGGTAACCCACAATGTCAAATGAATACTTTTACAAGTATTAAACATTTGAAAGAAGAAATAGCAATTATAGTTATGATTTTATTTATTTTTTAAGCATTTTACTGCTAGATGTTTAAATCTAAAGAAAAGTTTACTAGAAAAAAATCCACGCGGACCAGGCAGCGGACGGGACTCGAACCCGCATCCTTCGCTATCCGGGCGAATGCACTGACCAATTATGCTACCGCGGCCCTCACGGATCGCGTCGAAATTCCTCTAGCCATTCTTAAGCAGCAAGGCAGCGCCATCTCTTCGCATTATAGGTAACCCACAATGTCAAATGAATACTTTTACAAGTATTAAACATTTGAAAGAAGAAATAGCAATTATAGTTATGATTTTATTTATTTTTTAAGCATTTTACTGCTAGATGTTTAAATCTAAAGAAAAGTTTACTAGAAAAAATTCTTTCAAATGTTTAATACTTGTAAAAGTATTCATTTGACATTGTGGGTTACCTATAATGCGAAGAGATGGCGCTGCCTTGCTGCTTAAGAATGGCTAGAGGAATTTCGACGCGATCCGTGAGGGCCGCGGTAGCATAATTGGTCAGTGCATTCGCCCGGATAGCGAAGGATGCGGGTTCGAGTCCCGTCCGCTGCCTGGTCCGCGTGGATTTTTTTCTAGTAAACTTTTCTTTAGATTTAAACATCTAGCAGTAAAATGCTTAAAAAATAAATAAAATCATAACTATAATTGCTATTTCTTCTTTCAAATGTTTAATACTTGTAAAAGTATTCATTTGACATTGTGGGTTACCTATAATGCGAAGAGATGGCGCTGCCTTGCTGCTTAAGAATGGCTAGAGGAATTTCGACGCGATCCGTGAGGGCCGCGGTAGCATAATTGGTCAGTGCATTCGCCCGGATAGCGAAGGATGCGGGTTCGAGTCCCGTCCGCTGCCTGGTCCGCGTGGATTTTTTTCTAGTAAACTTTTCTCGAGGTAAGTACTTTGATAAATTGTAGTATTTTGTATGTCTAGTGATTGAGTTCGGAAAAAAACTTATATGAACTAGAATACTATCTGCTGTGGGCTGTGGAGCATTTGTAAATGGTGCATCTATGTTAGTCTTTTATTTTCACAGGTTAATGGAATTAAAATATTTGTTAATATTCTTATACTTGCCATAAATATTATAGAATGAATTTTCATAGGGAAGGCCTAAAGCTGATGATAATTTAATAAATGCGGTGTTTAGCATGTGAGCGTGCGAAACTGCGTTCACATCGACCGTGGTGAACAGCTTACCAGGCTGCCGGTCCGCTGTTCACGCAAGTTTTGCAGAGTTTCCTCGCAGCCACGGTAATAATATCATACAGTATTCTATCTTCATACAAACGGTCGGAAAGCGAGTCATACCTACGCCACTCGAGTTCGATGTGCTCTCGGCGTGCACTCAGTCGCGAATGCGCCGCCGCGCCGCAACGACGACCGAACGGTCTGAATTGTTTTTTATGCAGTTAGCCGTGCTTAAACATGCATTTTGTATTGTAAATATTTGATTTAATTAAGTAGATACCTACATAATTTAGTATGGAAAAGAACAAACGACGATCAATATCGTACAACAGCACAATTGCTGTTTTTGGTTGCTTGAACTCTTCAATAACACACCCAGAGATATCATTTTTTAAATTACCTGAAATATTGGAAAGGTGTCTTACCTTTATAGAATATTTTTTATATACCTATCTACTAGTACGCTATTTGTTTCTAATATTTAGGTATTTCGGTTTTTCCATCGGGCAAAATATCTGGAATAATATATAAATAAGTGGTTAGGATGAAAAAAGAGACAAAACAAAACGACATAAAATACTGTAGGCTGGCGGCCCTACCGCGTGCCAACACAGCGCTCGGTGTAGGCATTTATTTTCAAGGACAGGGCGGAGTCACAATACTGTATAGATAATATTACCGTGTCGCAGCACAGTGTGCCATAACTAGTGACCACTCGTGGCTTATGGACTATGTTTTCCTTGGTCACGCCATACCTTGAAAACGACATTGCCGATTTCATCCATCTTTTTCAAGTTCTTTATACTCTGTAGACGAAAGTGTTGTTTGAGAAAGACCTTAGAGAATCGAAGGGCCAAAAGTTAAGAAAAAATTAAGGGAAGATTAGGTAACACCTTTAATCAATAGGTGGTGAAGACGCGTTTTACGATATTTTTTTATTAGGCATGATAACGTACGTCGGGTCCGCTAGTACAATTACATATAATGATAAAATCTTTATCAACGATAGTTTTCCATTGGTATTGCAGTGTAGCCATGTGGGCGTGCGAACCTGCGATCACGACGACCGTGGTGAACAGCTACCACGCTGCCGGTCCGCTGTTCACGCAAGCTCTGCAGAGTTTCCTCGCAGCACAGTGTGCCTTAGCCGGCGATCACTTGTGGCCTGCGGATGCTACCTCTGCCCTTGAGAATGGTCAGTTAATGTGTAAAACTCATCAATCGTGCTTATGTTAAAAATGAGAAATTCACCCTGCCTCGCCTGATGTTAAGTGTAAGTGGTGTCCCATCTCGAAGAGATAGTTGGAGCGTCATAAAAGGTGAAATTTACGCACCAAATTACCCCACCTGATGTGAATGAATGTAAACAGAGTCCAATCGCGAAGATAGCCGAAGCGGTAGAAAAGGTGATAGTAATGTACCAAATTACCTGACAGTGGCCGGGACAATAACGTCTAAAATAAATGTAAGCGGCGCGTCCAGTACCAAGGATAGCTTTCCATGCCTGCTACTATGGCCCTGGGTACACGGCATCAAGGACCTTATTATAATAAAAATATATAAAAATCTTGATTGCCCCTGACAAAAAGCAAATTCCAATGTAAACAATGCAGTCGGTCAGACTTCTACATGACACTTTTATTATCATGTTGTTAAAGACTGGAGAAGTTAAAAAGAAGTGGTTCATGCTTCGTTCCAAGTCCAAATCACATCACAATACGCAATAAAAATCTTGGTTCCCCTGCCAAAAAGCAAATTCCAATGTAAACAATGCAGTCGTTCGGAAAAAAGCAGACTCAAAAGAGCGCCTTCCAAATGCACTGCGCAATTTAGTAGTAAATATAATTTGTTATTATGTTGTTTGGAGCTGATAACGCAGGTTCAGCAAGTGAAAAAAAGGACTAAATAAGAAAATTTTTTTCTAAATTTTTTTCTAGTAAACTTTTCTTTAGATTTAAACATCTAGCAGTTAAATGCTTAAAAAATAAATAAATCAGGACTAGATAAGTTAGAAAGAAGTGGTTCACGCTTCGTTCCAAGTCCAAATCACATCACAATACGCAATAAAAATATATAAAAATCTTGGTTCCCCTGGCTCCACAGTGCTCTAACGTTAACATGTGATTTGGACTTGGAACGAAGCTAAAACTACTTATTTTTACCTTCTCCAGTAATTTTTTCCACTTGCTAAACCTGCGTTATCAGTTTCGAACACCACAATAACAAATAATATTTTCTATTAAAATGCGTAGTGCATTCGGAAGACGCTATTTTGTGTCTGCTTTTTGCCGACCGACTGCAATGAATTTATTTTTAACCTTATTGTTCACATTTGCATTGGTTTATTGTCCTTAAGTCGTTTTCGTTAGTTACGAATCGCAATCGCAGTTTGGTTTTTACTTTCTGAAATTTTATATTTTCAGATCCGAACTATGATTTTATCGTGGTGGGCGCTGGGTCTGCCGGGGCAGTGGTAGCGAATCGTCTCAGTGAAATACCAGAATGGAAGGTACTTCTCGTTGAGGCTGGAGGGAATCCTACATTGGCAACAGAGGTGAGTTTATGAAAAACATTTATTAACTCTAGCTGTTTTATATTCTAAAATGTAGACTAAAGATAACCTTGGTTATAAACTAAACCAGTATCAGTTTAAACCAGGTTTAACTTTAGCCAATGTTTTATAATAACGGCCTGCGCTGTGATAAGCGGGTGCATGGAGCGGACGTTCGCTCCGCTTGCAGTTTTTATGTGATTTCATAGAACAGCGCTGCGCGGAAGACCTGCCTCTCGCAGCGCTGTTCTAAGAAATTACATGATACAAAAACGCGGAGCGGGCCCGCTCCGTGCTCAATCTTAACGCAGCGCATGTTCTAAGGCGGAAAATGTTGTCTCAGTCTTCTTTTTAGCTAACAAAGGCGACAGAATAATTCTGAGACCGTTATGAATCTCTAGTGGCATCTGTATCTTATAGCCTCGCAAAAAACGACGCCTTTCAAATCTACTGTGTGTCATATCCTTATTTGAAATAAGCTTCTTCAGTGTATCACAAGTGCACCCCACTTTAAATTATATACAAACAAACATGTTAATGTATTAAAAACTTAGTAAATAAATAATTATGTAACTTTTACGTTAATTTTAGACTCCACAATTGTTTTATAACAATATGGGCACTTCCGAAGATTGGGGTTACAAAACAGAACCACAAGGTAACGCCTGCAGAGGCAGTAAAGGGGGAAGGTGCGCGTGGCCAAGAGGAAAGACTTTAGGAGGCTGCAGCAGCATAAATGCTATGTTCTATGTAAGAGGCAATAAAATTGATTATGACACATGGGCTGCCGAAGGGAATTACGGTTGGAGATACGAGGAAGTCCTACCTTTTTTCATAAAAAGTGAAAATTATTCAGGAGAAATGAACGAGAACACGAAAAAATATCATGGAAATCAAGGTTACTTGCACGTAGGAAAAGATGTGGATGAGCACGATTTCGAAAAAATAATCTTACACGCTGTTAACGAATTAGGTATCCCCATACTGGATGATGTCAATGGCGATTCTCAAATGGGTGTATCAAGAACTTGGGCAACAATAAAAGATGGATTGAGACATAGTACAGCAAGGGCTTTCTTAAGTCCTATTAAGGACAGAAAGAACTTACATGTTATTAAAAATGCACTTGTTACACAACTTCTTTTTAAAACCAATGAAAATACAGTTACCGGGGTACTAATACACAAAGACGGCAAAAAAATCTCAGTAAACGTAAGGAAGGAAGTCGTTGTATCGGCGGGTGCTATAAATACTCCACAGTTACTTCTTCTATCTGGAATAGGTCCCTCCAAACATTTAAAAGATTTAAAAATTGATATTAGGACCGATTTACCCGTTGGACAAAATTTACAAGACCATCTGTTAATCCCGTTTTACTATTCTTTACCTGGTGATAGTAATCTTACTTTAGATAAAATTGGACTAGAATTCATGCGTTATGTTACTACGAAAGAAGGTCCATTCTCTAACACCAGCCCACATAGAATTATAACATTTATAAATACTACTGATGAAAAATCAAATAGCCCTGACATGCAGTTTCATTACCTCATGTTTCCACCTGGACTATACAATTTAATCGATATCTTAGATTATCACGGATTCACTGATGAAATACAAGAAAAGTATCGTAAGATAAATGACAATCACGTCATTATGGTTATTTATGCAGTTGTATTATATCCAAAATCGAGAGGAAAAATTGTTCTTAAAAGTAAAGATCCTTTTGAATATCCATTAATTTATGCAAACTATTTCGATGATCCAGAAGACTTAAATACAGTAATGAGAGGATTTAAGCAGCACATCTCGAAGCTGGGCGAAACGAAAACTTTTAAAAAATCCGGTTTGAAGCTACAATGGTTAGATTTAGATGCATGTAAAAAGTACGAAAAGGGTAGCGATGAACATTTAGAATGTTACAGTAGAGAGATGACTTTCTCTTTATATCATCCCACGAGTACTTCAAAAATGGGGTCCATTAACGATCAACATGCCGTTGTCGACCCGGAGTTGAGGGTTAATAACTTAAAAAATCTTAGAATAGCAGACGCAAGCATAATGCCTACAATCGTTAGAGGCAACACAAATGCACCAACAATAATGATAGGCGAAAAGGGGGCTGATTTAATTAAAAAAACATGGTTGAACACACACAGTGAACTTTAGTAAGATGTTATACCTTATGAATAACAATAAAGACTTAATAAAATCATTTTCTTATCTTGTCACTTTATGTTTATGTATTATATTGTTACGAGAACAAAGTGTGTTCACAACACTGGAACATAAGTAAGTTAGAAACGCTACCAAGAGGTTGTCGGGATCTCGAAACGAGTTTAGGGAAGGAGAAGTTATTTTTTTATTGGAAGTTACGTAAAGATATAAAATTATCGTTTTAAGAATACCAGATACCCACTTATTTTCTAAAAAGAAGTCAGTAAATATTGTGTAAATTTTCAATTCCTATTTGACTAAAAAAAGATATTGTAATTTTCCCATTATATTTATTTACAATGGAAGCATTAGTGGCTAATATTACAGCTACATGTCCACTGTCTTTTTCGGGAACCACGGGTTATCTTTTTGCAAGTGCCATAGCTGCAGTAGTTGCTGCGCATTGTACTATTTTTGACGGCTACCAGTGGCCAAAGGACAATTTTCAAGAAATAATAAATTCAGGTGAGATGAGATTTGTATTATAATTAATTATTAAGTCATCAAAGGGTTGCTGCATAATTAAGCAGTAATTTTAATCAATTTTACAAAAGAGGAGATTCTCAATTCGGTCGGTATTTTTTTTAATGTATGTATACCGAGATTTATGATGCCGATGCGGAAAAGTTACCATTTGGTCCCATCAAAAATGTTTAGATTGGCCCAGTAGTTTTTGTTAACTTGGACGTTAAAATTTTCACGATACTTTGTTTATATGAACACTGATTACGTAACCATTTTGATTTGATTTCAGTGATCCTTTTTGGTTCGATGGGAGATACTTGCCCATTTAGTCCAATAAAAAAACATCTAGTTTGACCGAGTAGTTTTAATTTTATGAGTGTTTGTTTACTTGGACAATGTAATTTTCATCATACTTTGTTGTTTTAAAAGGTTTTTATGTATGTGTAGGCGCTTTATACTAAAATGGCTAAAATAAAAAGTATTTAAAAGAATATTTTTAGGCAAATAGTAAAAACCGACTTCAAATCAAATACGGAACTAAAAAGTTAATCAAAATATCAAATCATAACTATATTAACTTTTTAGTTCCGTTTTTGATTTAGAAGTCGGTTTTTACTATTTGCGCATTTTAGGATCCGCCCTATTTAAACCTATAAGAACTAATATGGGAAAAATATTTAGGACCCGTTTCATACGACTTCGTCGTGATAGGCGCAGGAACAGCAGGTTCAGCTCTCGCTGGGCGGCTGGCTAATCTCGATCCAAACTTAACTGTACTACTTATTGAAGCAGGTGACAATCCTTCGTTAAACAGCGAGGTATTTAAGTGCACTTTAATTACTATAATAATATACTTACATAAGGTTTCATAGTTCGACTTGGACTTTGGAATTTTTTTAACTCAAATTAATGCTTAATTCAGTTTAAAACATCGATCTATCTTTGTTTGATATTAATAAAGAGATGAAGAAGTTTAAATATAATTTTGCTTTAAATCTGATAAGAATATTAATGCAATATTTTTAAGGGGTTTAAAAACCCGTATATTAGAATAATAATTTTATTTGTAAGCAAAATGAGGTTTCAGTCCCATTGAAAATAATTTAATCAAACTGATATATCACTTCCTAAAAAGAGTAAAAGTTTCCATAAAATACACAGAACTATAAGCCTTCCACTATTTTAAAGAGGTTGATCATTACTAATAAAATATATTTGCTATTTTCAGATCCCGGCATTCCTGATTTCTAATCAAGATATAGACTGGAGATACGACACAATATCTCATGGAGCTTGTTTAGGTTTCAAAAATAATATTTGCACATGGAATAAGGGTAAAGCTATGGGTGGATCCAGTTCTATCAACGCCATGTTATATATTAGAGGACACCCAAGAGACTACCAGCTCTGGAAGCAAATGGGTAACGAGGGGTGGGGATATGATGACCTTTTGCCCTTTTTTAAAAGCTTGGAATTAAAAATGAATCTTACTTCTTACGAATATAATGACAATCCTTGGTATCATATTCTTGAAAAGTCATATAAGGAATGTGGAATAAAAGCCGATACAATAGACAACAATGAGGGTATAATTGGAACAAGAATTACCAAATTGCTTATAGAAAACGGTAAGCGTCTGAACACTGGGAAAATTTACTTAAAACAAACGGAAAACTTGTTCGTAATGAAGAATTGTTATGTTGAAAAAATTCTTGTTGATGACGTATCTAAAACAGCTCATGGGGTAGAGCTGCGTCACAATAACGGTATTGTAATGCAAATAAAAGCAAAGAAAGAAGTCGTTTTATCAGCTGGGTCAATCGCAACACCTCAGATTTTAATGTTGTCAGGAATCGGTCCGAAAAGTCATCTTAACGATTTAGGAATAGACTGTTTAAATGATTTACCAGTTGGAAAGAATGTTCAAGACCATGTAATATTTCCACTTTTTTTCAAAACAAATCAAGGAGTGCAAATACCAAATGATATGGTAACATTAGCATGGTTACAATATATGCTTACTAAAACGGGGCCATTGTCCAATATAGGTTTGACTGATTTCATGGCTTTCATACACACGAAAAATACATCTGATTACCCTGACATTCAATACCATCATTTGTATTTTAGTAAAAATGATAAATTCATTATGCGGTCTTACTTAGATAGTTACGGGTACAACGACGAAATTATAAAGAGCATTGAACAATCAAATAAGAAAAGTGATTTGCTTGGTATCTACCCTACGTTGTTACATCCCAAATCAAAGGGGGAAATATTGTTAAAAAGTTCAAATATCTCAACAAGACCTATAATAATAACAAATTACTTTGATGACTCAGATGATATCAAAACACTGATACGAGCGATAGAGTTCGCACGTAAACTAGAGAAAACTGAACACTTTAAGTCGCTTGGAATTCAATTCGTCCCTTTAAAATTATCTGGTTGTGCAAGGTTGTCCCTATTTACTGACGAATATTGGGAGTGCTATATTCGTCATATGGCAACTACGGTTTATCATCCTGTTGGAACTGCGAAAATGGGTCGTAAAGAAGATAGAACAGCAGTTGTTGACGGGAATCTGTTGATTCATGGTATACATAATCTGAGGGTGGTGGATGCGAGCGTGATGCCGACCATTCCTGGAGGAAACACAGTGGCACCGACTCTCGTCATTGCTGAGAAGGCATTCGAGATCATGAAGAAAAAATATGTTGCCAAAGATGAACTATAACTTTCTAATTTAACGTGGTATTTTATTATTTCATGATCAAATTGAAGAGTACAATAAGTAGTAATGAGTATTTTTTTTATGACTGATGATAATAGAAACGTTGCTATTATGTATTAATATTTAGTTGTGATGCGTTTGTTTATTTTCTTATAATAGGAAATGGTTGAAATAAATTGAGCTATCAACAATTCATTATATTTATACTCCAAAAATACAACGAAAATATAAAAAATAAAATTTGACTAATTAGGACAATTAAACAGTAAATTAAAAATTATTTATTCGTTGATAATTGCTACAAAAATCTACATTTACATGTTGTGAACCCAACATACGACCACTACAAAACTTTCCACGAATCAGTAAGTTAATATTTCTTTTTGATTAGTTATTTATTCTAAGTCCTATCCTACCTATACCTATATCATGAAAGGTCTTCGGTGTCATATGACAGTGTACTGTGCGTTGTTGTGTCATAGAAAACCCGTCAAGGCCAGCCCCCCTGTGGTAACATACACGAGGCATTGATATGCAGTATGCTAACTAACGTCCTGAATGGCAGCAGCAAGGTCTTTTCTAGATGGGTTTAAAAATGTTTGAGAATTGTATTTCTTCGATTTTTGTTCATTGACATACGAAAGTTCGGGAAAGTAGGACTTGTATATTTTGATAATAAATTATTCTAAATTTCCAACGTCGTTTTTATTGAGAAACGAACGCACGATATTTTAAACATTTCAAAATAGAACTACTAGGTTTAGGCACATGTTGTGTCACATGAAAAGTTGCAGTCAAAAAATGTGAGCGTTAATTAATGACCGAGTAAATATCTTACACAGTCGAATTCCTATAGAGCAATCACACATAAATGGCATGAAACTAGGCCGCCTTGTTGATTCGCATTTTACCTTAAACCACGTGTATTAGTTGCTTAGAGATTGACCGCACTTTCCACAAACTATAATTCCGAATAGTCGGGACCTAGTTTTAAATCAATATGTTTCTGCTGCCCTTACCAGAGTTTTTGTGTTTACTGTAGTCTGTTTAACCGATTCAAGAAGAGATTCGAATGAACTGAATTTTCAGCTATGTCTTTTATTATTACCAATCATAAATTACATAATAAATTTAACATTCCCATATAAAGTTACTCTGAAGCGAAATAGTATACGCTTAGGACGACTGGACCAGTACTTCTAGATAGATATTAAAATAAACGTAAACAAATTACCTATTTGGAAACTGATATTCACGATGCCGGCAATCTTTCACTGTTGTTTTGCAAACAAACTTCGGTTGAACCAACGCCAAATGTGAATAGATTGAGATTATTACTTACATACGAGTATACTAAAATTTAATAGCGGGTGCATGTGTATTAGGTACCTTCCTAATTCTAACGAAATTCGACACGCGTATCCAGAATCCCTGATACGCTGAGATAATACAAAATGATAAATATTAAGCAGATTTTTTTATCAAAATTGTTTTTTTTATCACATTTCCTAAGGTTTTAGATCCCAAGATTAGGTTACAAGACTGATATTATGTTGGTCGCGTTCTTTTAAGTACTAAAGCTTCCATCTTAAAACGTTTATCACTTCGCCGGGCTAACTCAATCCTCCTGTCCCGTGGAGCCCTGAAAGGCTCAACAACATAAGCATTTTCTCCAAAATGGTAGAATTATTTTATTGTCCTCTGTGTAGTGACCTCAGAGAAAGAAGTGAAAGCTATGTTTTTATTTTTTAAGCATTTAACTGCTAGATGTTCTAATGTAAAGAAAATTTTACTAGAAAAAAATCCACGCGGACCAGTCTGCCTGGTCCGCGTGGATTTTTTTCGAGTAAAATTTTCTTTACATTAAGTGAAAGTTATCTCCACTTCACATCTGTGACGCTTACAGAGACGGACGCTCTATTACGGGTGGAAATCTGGTATTCCTTTATTCCACATAGTAGCTATTTGTCAATCAAAGAACAGGAAAAAGAGGAGTGCATTGGAGGTTCAATTTGATTGCCACCCTTTGGATACAGACACGCTAATGATGCATTAGTTTTTATTTGCCAACTTATTTTAAAATTCCATTAACAGAAGATTTAAGAACAAGTTATGTTGACAACATCACCGTATCTATCACCTTGACCACGGATAGTTATTGGACATGTTTCGCAATAAATTGTTACGCAAAGAAGCCGCAGCTAGAAACATGATTGCACATGCGGTACTGCACGTATACCACCACCGTAAGTATTAGATGTATTGCAAATAGTTTTTTGCTACAGAGAGTTTTTTACTAACGAGAGCCCAGATTAAAAATAAATTAATTGGAGGATCGATTTATGAGGTGGAGAAAAAACATCGAAAAGAAAAGTTTTTCCTATAAAGGCGTAATATAGGTTCAATGAATCAGCACAAGGGGTCACTAAGGAATGGTGATAATAAGACTTGAGATATACCCGACCAACACAGACTCTTGCCCCCTTATTAATAAACAAGGAATAAGCTTAACACTATGTTATGTCACTCAAATGCCATTTGTCATTCAATAGACAGAGACAAAACATGTAGTAACTATGATTTTATTTATTTTTTAAGCATTTAACTACTAGATGTTTAAATCTAAAGAAAAGTTTACTAGAAAAAAATCCACGCGGACCAGGCAGCGGACGGGACTCGAACCCGCATCCTTCGCTATCCGGGCGAATCCACTGTTGTGGGTTACCTACAATGCGAAGAGATGGCGCTGCCTTGCAGCTTAAGGTTAGGAAAATTTCGACGCGGCTAATAGGGCCGTGGTAGCATAATGGTCAGTGCATTCGCCCGGATAGCGAAGGATGCGGGTTCGAGTCCCGTCCGCTGCCTGGTCCGCGTGGATCTTTTTCTAGTCAACTTTTCTTTAGATTTAAACATCTAGCAGTTAAATGCTTAAAAAATAAATAAAATCATAACTATAATTGCTATTTCTTCTTTTAAATGTTTAATACTTGAAAAAGTATTCATTTGACATTGTGGGTTACCTATAATGCGAAGAGATGGCGCTGCTTTGCAGCTTAAGGCTAGGAAAATTTCGACGCGGCTAATAGGGCCGTGGTAGCATAATGGTCAGTGCATTCGCCCGGATAGCGAAGGATGCGGGTTCGAGTCCCGTCCGCTGCCTCGTCCGCGTGGATTTTTTTTTCTAGTAAACTTTTCTTTAGATTTAAACATCTAGCAGTTAAATGCTTAAAAAATAAATAAAATCATAACTATAATTGCTATTTCTTCTTTCAAATGTTTAATACTTGAAAAAGTATTCATTTGACATTGTGGGTTACCTACAATGCGAAGAGATGGCGTTGCCTTGCAGCTTAAGGCTAGGAAAATTTCGACGCGGCTAATAGGGCCGTAGTAGCATAATGGTCAGTGCATTCGCCCGGATAGCGAAGGATGCGGGTTCGAGTCCCGTCCGCTGCCTGGTCCGCGTAGATTTTTATTCTAGTAAACTTTTCTTTAGATGTAGTAACTAATCCACGAGTAGTCTTTGTTTTTTAATATAGGGGTTGAGGTCTGTATTTCTTATATGGACTTCTATGGACATGTGCTAATTGCGCATGTCGATTCTCTCATTGGCATGTTGAAGTGTTGTTCTTATCCAATCTCCATAGCTTGAGCACCACAATTTACATTATATTCCGTTTTTTATTTCGCCTAACTGTCAAACTCCATAGTAATTTGACAATTGAGCGTGATAAAAACGTGTTATATAGCATATCGTGGTGCTCCTACTAGGGGGGCAGTGCTTGTTTTGCATTGGGCGTTCTACGATGTTATATAAGTAGGTCTCAGAAACGATGGTCCAAGATCGTACAGGAGTGGAGACCCAGAACTCAGGAGCGTGACACACCACTAATGTACGAGGATCCATGAAGGGCGCGGGAAAGCACTTATTCGGGTCGTTACGCGTGTCTATGAGTGATCTTTAAATTATGTATAAAAACCTAGGCTTTCCTGAATAAAAAAAAAGTATGGCATTCATTAGGTTAACAATAAGTACTTACATTTATAATCTACATTGTAAGGTAATGTTGCAATCACTCTTCACATGTGCAGCACATCACAGGAAGTTGTGCTGTACAATTTTAGGAAGTATCGAAACATCCAATTTCTAATTATGGTATGATTATTATGAACAATGCGTTTACTAATACACAACATTGTAACTAACGACTGCTCATAAAAACGCTAAATTGGGTACTCGGCGTGCGACATGACATGGCCTTAATATTTTCTGAACAGGTAAAAAGATCTTGGACGATTCAAAAGAATTGCAATTGAAATTGCAGAGATTAGAATTACAATTTATTGGAATTGAAGAATTGCAGAGATGTATTTATCCAATTTCAATACAGAAATATTTTTTTCATTATCTTGTATTCCCTATTGCAGTGAGAACATGTTTCTGTTGTGTTAGTTGTAAGTTAGGTTGAAACAAAGACATTTAACTTATATAATTATTCATATTACTTTATCCCCACATCAGGTGGGGTAGAGTCATTTGCCTACCTTTACGCTATTAAAAAATAAAATTTTAAATAAATATTGAAACATAACCAGAAAAAAATCGGAGAATTCCTGTAAATTTTACCTTACACTCACACCAATAAGCCTAGTCCTGAAGTAAGTACTGTAAAACATGTGTTATAGGATACTGCCGGCACTTCACTTAGCTATTCTTATTAGTTATTTGTAAACTTGAAAACAGTATCTCCTTATCACTCTTTATAAGGAATAAAAAGGACAGACTGATGTCAATTAAAAAAAAGGAAATACGAAAAGCCCAGTGTATTGCCGGCATTAGAAAAACAGCCACTACTAAGGAACAAGTTCTTGTATTTCATCATACACATAAAAACATTTGCTCCTATCGGGACACCTTGATGCCGGTGTACTGATATATCGCTCTACCACATAATTAGTAAACAGTATCTTAACTTCATTAATCAGTCTTCCACTCTCTGCTCTGGCCCGTAATTATATATGATTCTGGTTGATTAATTCAAATTCCATTTAAAAGATAAATGCATTTAAATCATGGCCAAACCACGTAGTAAGACTGGAGATGGACGATGGACCAAAAATATTACATTATGGGAGGGACCAAAAGGGAAAAGAAACCGTGGTAGACCCCGCAGGCGATGGGTCGACGGCATAAGAAAAGAAGCAGGAGAGCAGTGGCACTTTAAAGCACGAGAAAGAAAGAAGTGGATGAGGATGGAGGAAGCCTTTACCCTACTCTCTTCTCTTCGGGATTCTCAGTAAGGAAAAGACGTATACAGTTTAATAATAATGACTAACAATACACCTTATCTATTAAGAGTGAAAATTACGTTTTTTTTTGCAAAAAATGTGAAAGGGCTCTTAATGTTTAAGTAAATAAATAAGAATCAATTTACCTACTAATCTACTTTTGCTAATATGTAATTATAGAAAATGCATGTGAATTGAATTGATAATGAGAATAAATAAAAGGTATTTTTTTTATTTCCTTTATGTATTCATAAAACTAACAAACTTCAAATGAGTTGAAGTAGGTATGTAAATTGCTTGCAAATGACAAATTTTAATATGTCATGAAATGCAGTTGGAATAAGACACATACCCCAGGTTGCAATATATTTAGGGCCCCTTTATGCTCCCATAAAGGCCAATGGTCCCATTCATTATCCTAGAAAAAACCACAAAATATGACTACGACATTGCTACGCAAAACATCAATATTTCTATAATATTAACCAGATAATTAAGACCAAATAAAAACCCCGTATAGAGTTCACCTTACAACAACAAAGTCTCACGAGTGCAGGAAACTAATTAGCCAATATTCTCGTGCTTCATTTGAGTCAACAACAAACAATGCTAAGACAGAAACTGGTTCTCATGGTGCTTAGTTACGACTTGCGACAGATTCTGATCTTGTTGATGTTCTTGCACTTCGATCAATCGCCATTACTATTCCGAGGTTCGTACGAAGAAGTACGAAGTATAAACTCCAGCAACCATCTTGATCATAAACCATACTGGGCAGGTTTGTTTGTCTATGGTTTTGCTCTAGAAGTTTGCCGCTGCCTGTTCCTACGTATTTAAAATTTACTGTACCCTTAGCAAGAACCAGTATCGAATTCGAATAGTTTGCGAGTCTGAAATGTCATTACGACTACACCATTGAATTAGGTGTATAATGGTGTAATGTATTTTGAATATATATATATTTTTATTGGTCAGTACAATCTCTGCTAATATGTTCTAAATCTGAATGAAACAGTACAAAAGCTACTATCTAACTTGCTAAAAGAACAGCCAAAACCCGCGAAAAACGTATCAAATAATGAATAGTTGAGCTTTTTAGTTGCTTGCTTGAGTTCCAGTGGTAAGAAAGGCAAATTCACATGAACTTTTAACTCTTGCAACTCTTGCATAATTGGATCGCATCCGCGACGGTTAGTTTGCCAGTCAAGGCCACTGCCCGCGCATCAAACACATAAGATATTACCATAGGCTTTAGAACTCCCAAATTACAAAATGTTATATTGGTTAATGTACATAAAAGTATATTTACGTATTGGCCAAGCGCAAATCTTTATTTTCCTAATGACTAAATGGAATACAACGATGTTTTCGTTCAACAGCGATTTAGATGGTAGGAATTTTAGCAACTACTCTTTTATTTTTAATCCACTTCAAATAAGGAGATTTCCAAATCTGAACCGAATATTTTTTTGTACACACAATTTAAATACCCCTATTAAGGTTCGGAAGCGGTCCCATGAAGTAATGATGATGACCTAAAACTAAGGGCTAACTAAGTACTGAGGACTTTTTGGAAAGCGGGTTTTGAGTATATTACGTCGTAGTTATGGACACGGTTCGTCTCCATCGAAGCGCTGCTTCTCCAGTGCCGCTCTACGCTATGTCGTTGTATAATAGGTATTTGAATAAACTATTACTCTCGCGCATTGGGAAAACAGTAACTGACGCTGAAAATCTATACAGTCAATTGCTGTTCGTTAGTCTCGCTAAAACTCGAGAACGGCTGAACAGGTTTATCTTATTTTGGTCTTGAAATGTTCGTAGAGGTCTAGGAAAGGTTTAAAAGGTGAGAAAACTAATTATATAAAGAAATTCATTGTGTATATACTTACAGCACTACACCGAAGCGAAGCGAGGGCGGGCCACCGCGCATTGGGACAACAATAACTAACGCTGAAAATCTATATATATAAAAATCAATTGCTGTTCGTTAGTCTCGCTAAAATTCGAGAACGGCTGAACGGATTTATGTTATATTGGTCTTGAATTGTTTGTGGAGGTCTAGGGAAGGTTTAAAAGTTGAGAAAATATGTAAAAATGGCGAGAAAACTTCAATTTATTTTTTCCATATAAACTGTTCTATCTATATTCCTGTCAAACATTTGACGTTTGTCCTTTTTAGTACGGTAGACTCGAGTCCGTCATTTCTTCCAAATTATTTTAAAACGCGGTCAACTAGTTACAAATAAAAATGACAGAATTCGGGGTTTGGCTCTCGACGATTTCTTCCTCGAAAATGAGATTATATAACTTTACAATATTTAAAAGAAATTTTACTCATAGAATAATAAGTAGTTATATTATGCCTCTATATTTTGCTTTTTTTAAGTGCTTATAGAAAGAACCTTCACACTAGACGTCTTAAGTGGTGATAAAAATTTGTAAATTTTTGGCATTTTTGAGGGCTTTTAGTTTCTTTGAAACACGACATATCGAATAAAGAAAGACATAGGATCATAGAACGAGTATAGTTTTACTTTATGTATGAAAATCATTTCTTTAGTGATAAAAATCTAGGAGGGATTCGTCGAGGACGTTTGTATGGAAAAACATTGCCCGCCTCGCTTCTTAAGCGCTATACATAAATATTAATATAAAATACCTTTGGTTTTCGGCCCCATGGTTAGTGACCAAAATGAAAACATGTAGTAAAATAAAAAATATGATTTAATAAAGATAGGCTCATAATGGTGCATGCACAGCAAAGTTACATTTTGAAGATCGAAGTTTTGAAATTACAACACGATAAAATAAACCAATATTTAATAATTTAAGCAAACTCTTGTTATTCTTTACAAGACAGGTTTTCGCTGCCCATTGTTGCTGGCACACTTGAGAGATGTTGCTTTAAAAAATATTACTGTAAGACGCCTTACTCAACGGGTCGGTGCTGGCTCGTTTCGTTTTCATTTCTGTACTGAATCTGTACAGAGTATTATCGAGTGTGTATTTATCGAGTGCATGTTATTAAATGAAAGCTTCCTTATTTATAGTGATGTAGGGAAATGTCTCTATCCCGCCTGATGTTAAGTGGTGATAAAGTCCAAAACAAAAGTCCTTACTGAGTTATTTCGGTACAGGTTCTTTACCAAGCGGATACACAGCTCTCTGTACCGAGTGCTACCGAGGGTTACCTTGTGCTACCCAACCATTCGACTCGCCCGTCCCACAAACAAAACTTTATGAAACAAAACGAAAAGATAATGCACCGACATCGAGCCGGCCAAAAAGTGGTTTTACGGTAAAGAATCTGTACAGATTCGGTACAGAAACAAAAACAAAACGAGCCCGCACCGACCCGGTGAGGAAGGCGTCTTATTTGGAAACAAAATACGCTCGACATCCGAAGAACATAAATATTGTGTATGCGGTGTCTTCGGGATGGGCTTGCTACACCTTCGTACTGACGAAAGAGCGATTTTGTCATGTTAATGGGTGGGATATTAACAAGCGAGCGGCTGTTTCGTGAACTATGACTAAAAATATTGCGAAGGCCCGCCGACCTAAACCACAACTGAACTGAGAGTTATGAGTTGACTAATTCAATAATAATAATAATAATGAATCATAAAAACTACAAATGTAGCGTAGTTTTCGTTCGTCAACAAATGTATTGCTAATACATATTAATAATATAGTATTATAGTTCTTAACAATTTATTCCAAAATTATTTTGTGAATTTCTTGTTGTTGGGAACGTAAAATAGGGAATTGCCTGAATATAGGATGCATCATTCGCAATATCATAATGGTTTGCCTACATTGCACAAATTTATGTCAAACTCGGACGAGACTGGAACTTGCAAACTATAAGTCCCTATCCACCACCACCACTCGAAATCTAGGTGATATAAAACGATTGTTGAATGCAATATTTAAGGATTTCCAATGTAATTTACAAAAGGTAAAAACTGTAAGTAGGTACACAACGTTACATAAATCTAGCTGTTCTTACAGAATGCACAAACCATTATAACGAAGGTATCCGAGAAAAGATCCTTTCTTTTTTTTGTAAAAGTTGGTATCATCATCATCATTAGTATAAGCTTATTAATGTCCTCAATGGAGGGGCACATGCCTTTCTTAAGAATAGAATAGAGGAACGGACGGTGACCCACCACGCGGACCCAGTGCGGATTGGTGAGTGCCAACGGCTCACCCATCCAATGACAGACCAATACGAAAGTTACTTAACTTCCACGATCGCAGGCCAAACGCGCTAACTACCTCCGCCATCGAGCTCCTCAAAGATGATTCAATGAAACGCTTTTAAACCGATTTAAGAAACTACTTCGCATTTTACCAGAACTTTTAAAATAAAATTGTTTGGTCATTGTTTAGCTATAAAAAATCTGGTAAATGAGGAAATTAACTTCACTCTACATGTAACAATCCAGTTAACATACGTTTGCCTGGAAGAAATTGCTTCTTAGCGATAAGGCCGCCATTTGTACTATAATGTAATAGTCTTAATTAATTGTAATTTACAATCTCATGGTGTACAATAAAGTTATTCATTCATTCATTCAAATTAATGGCATTTTGTAATTAATTATTTGCAAGCAAATACAAACTTAAAACAGGCTGAAAGCTATATTTAAGTTTCACTTTAAATCGAAATGTATCGCTCATTATAAAGCTTATTAGTAAGTTTTTGAGTCATAATATTCAGCTAGACAATCGGTTATCATTTCAAATAGTTAGATATATTACAAGTATAACAACAGCATTATAAAATAGGAATATAAAACAGCAGAGCTAAGTCAATAATTTGAAGGTAATCATTAATATTGCACTGCAAAGGAAGACGTTAGGAACTTCCTCCGTTATGTGGCTTACAAAATCAGAGTCAGTAAGAAACAAATATAATTTCAGAATTCACTGACCCGTATAGGCTTCGCGGAGCCTAATAACATTGACCGCTCACTAGGTTGTGCAAGCATTTCTTCCCAGCACAGACTTGGCACAGTGCATGCAACCGCGAGACAGCGCGCGCGCACCCATCGCGCCCTATACTTCGATCAAGGATCGCACAGTGATAAGTGATAACAGTGAAAGTGAGAAGATATTAGTTATTTTAAACGGTAGGTCCGTTAAATATCCACGTGCTACCTTTTTATTTAACACGTTGATGGATAGCAAAACTGTGTTATTTGGAAGGTTGTTGCTAATTTAGGAAGTGAGCGAGGATTTGCAATCAATAAGTAATGATGTAGTTTGATGTTATTCTGGTGAAATATGTTTTCGTTGCATTAGAAGTTGTAATTGAAGTTATTATGATACATGGGGTAGTGTATATGGAGGTCTTTAAAAGGAAATCAGATTAGTTAAAAATTACTTTTAATGGTTGTTTTGTACCATTTGTTGTCATAATATAATTTAACACCAAACACTCAAAAATTAATGCACATTTAATTTCGGTTATTACTACCCAGCGAAAGAATTATCCTAGTTCACACTGGAACCAAAAATACAGCTATAATAATTTATTATATTATAATTTTAAAACAATTACTAATTGATCCTAATATAATTTCAAACATTGCCCTTGGAAACGTAGTTTGGCTGACATTTATTAGAACTAGTTTATAATGAGGGAAAGGGAATAAGACAACACTTGATACTTTTCAATTACTCTACATTAAGTAATTAACGCAATGAATCACCGCAATAATAATATTTAAGAATAATAATATCATTGCCACATAAGTCCAGAAGATATTTTGTAAAAAAACTTTAGAACTAAAGTAACACACAGTGACAAAGAAGTTTTTTATTATTTGATGCAGACTTTAAATTTGAAGGGAAGAATAAGATTATTTTATATAACAGTAAGAAAGCGACAAAAAGGAAAATCTGGTAGAGGTAATGGATGGAGAGATGATAATATGAAAGATTAGGCACTAAATCTTTAGATAAATGCTTCTAAAGGCTATAAAAACGCGAAACATGACCATGCATCATTGACTTCCTGAAGCTTGCTGGAAATTGCTAAATTTAGTGCACTCCTTACGATAATATTGGTTATAGAAGATTAAAAATATATTCTAAGTCTAGTTACCGTTTTACATATTACGGTGCATCAGTTCTTATTTCACGACTAAAACCAGCTAGTCATGAGGCTTAACATTTAATCTACTTTATTGTTATCCAGCTTAGGGCTATCCTGATTTCTATGATCTTTTCCATGTTTAATTTAATATTATAACATTATCAAGAAAAATTATGCAACATACTCAATTCTTAGATAAACACTTTTTTCTTTTCCATTTAATTTTGAATGTAATGGATTTATGATGCCATATGTGCTAAGAGAATTGGCGCTGTATGCCGTAATACAGACATTTTGCTTAGCTCGGCAGCAGATAAATATGTAGTTATGTTAGAGATATTAGTACTGTTTTAGCCTTCTAAGTTTAATTGTAAATCACCTCTTATTGGAAATAAGTCTAAATGAAATCTGAATCCATAATATGAATTCATGATCTGAATTCCGGTGCTTTATCTTACACAAGACTTATAAATTCCTTTGATCGATAGATTGATCAGTTGTTTTGCGAACGTCTCTAAATAAGTATAGGTATTATATCAATTGACAAATAGTGCTAAGTTTAATGTGGCCAATTTTTTTTGTCAAAACACTTACGTCCATTGTGACAGAAAAAACTGCCGCGGTTTTCTTTTTAGGATATTTCTAAGAGAAGGGATTCCATAGTCAAGCACTAATAACAGATATGGAATGTCACAATCGATGAATTCCAATTCTAAAAACTCAGGCTGGTTATTCGATTCCGAAAGAAGAAGCGGCTCTACGAATGTTAGGCGAGAAACGTAACGTAACTTAAACTAATGCGGCAACTTGGTTAGAGTCGACCTTGAACGACTTCCATATGCGCTCTCACCGGTTCACCGACTTGTTTATGAAATATTATATGTCAATGAATATTTATAGTATTTTGTAAATTCTTTCACAGACGAGTTATCTTAATCGTGAACGATGATAAAATTAAATATCGGGTCCACGTGGTTATACTATAATGTACAGCAGTAACGACGAAATAAAACCCTTATTTTGAAATAAGTTCTATAAGAGAATCCTAATAAGTAATTAGTACTGCACAGAAAAAGTCGTGGGTGAAGCCAGTTTTTCACTATAAAATATTTAACTCGGCATAGGTCTGGAAAAGGCTGGAATCGAACCGAAAATAAAGACAAAGATAGAAAAGGGCTATCCGTGACAATGCGCTGATCATAAAGCTTACGAGATATCAAAATATTCTGCCTAGTCGAAAAATCATACAGACAAGCACAGGACATGGCTAAGAAACTGCCCTCAACGTGTATTATTATTTCGCACTAGCCCGTAACATTATTATATTTTTTTATAAATTGTTAAGTGTTTATTATTCTCATACAACTTGAAGGCCTAAAATAATAGATTTTATTTTTAAAAATAAGTTTTTCCGAAGTGTTAATTAGATAAATGGGAGCAAAGATTATATGAAAATGCCAAATTCATAGCTCTGGAAATAATTGGCAACATCTTTTATCAAATGTAGCAAGGTAATGCCGTAGTAAAGTTTTCATAATTTTTAAGACTATGACTGTATCAAAAGTTCCTGAGCCTTTTTTGATAGAAATTATGAATATTCAGCCATTTACCATTAAATATTACTAAGTACAGTATTTATACATTACTAAGGCAGTCACTTATGCAAAAATTTACCATGTTCTCTGTATGATAAAAAGTTACCTATTTCCCGCAAAAAGATTTTTTCTTCGCAAAAAGAATTGATCAACAAGTTCCAAAATTATTATGAACTGTTAAACGATGGCACCCAGAGAAAACTACGTATAACTTCTGTCATTTATTTCGTGCTTAACTCGGACAAGTAGGCTGTACTGTAATTAGCAAACATGCATGTAACATAAAACTTAATTGTTGACATCAACGAATCTTTGCTTATAACCACATGGCCCGTATGTTGAACAACGAAATGATATCATAATTTACTATTGCATAACCATTGATATTTTGTGGATAAAGTATCTCTACAAAAATTCAATAAAATTGGGATCTATTTTAAGATTACTTTATCTTCCAAAATATAAATCAACAGATTGATTTCCAACGTCTAAGTTACTCATATAATCTTAAATTAGATCATAGTATAATGTGAGCGCTGTGTCAAAGATAATACTATCTATGTACACTGTGCCATAGCATGGGAATACTTTGTTGAATAAAAAGTGAAAGATAGTGTGCGATCTTATTCACAAAATCACAATACTACCTTCGTGATTTGAGTAGTATGTTTAGTTTTTCTGGTATGTTTCTACATGAGAGAATACTTGTTAATGGCTTATAGTTTTTAATATAGTAAACCAAATTTTGTTTGAATAGCTGTAAGTTTTCCCATTAAAATAAGTGAAGTAACATAAAAATGTACGCCGGTTGTGCATTTGTAGCATTTGTTTATTATATTCTGTTCAGGTTCAACGGCCAAAATTTTCATGTTACTAATAAGGTTTACCAAATTTATTATATTGTTGTTTTATATTAAGAGAAAATAACAGAAAGTGAAAAGATTTAAATTAAGAGGCTTTGATAAAAACGCTTCTATTCATATGGCTAATAATCAAAATGGCAGTAAATTATAGCAAATTGGTATTACACAGATCTTAAAAGTGGGTTAAAAACAGAGTGGGTAATAATATGTTTCCTTGTGGAACGCCGTTATAAGTATGCAGTACACGTCGTATTTTAGATTATTATATTTCATGTTTTGTTAGCATTCCGTTATAACTGAACAGAAGCAAATCTTGACGAGTTAAATTTAACTAGCATCTATGGCGTGGAAATAAAACAATTTACGACGTTATTTCTCAAGGGGAATTCGCAATTAAAATGTAATCTGCTGATCATTCACACGCAATCCTTGTTGTTTAATTTAGCGAAACACCAGCATAGTTAGTAAGCACTAAATATATGGTAGAGCATTTGAAGTAAACTCAGATTCGTGTGATTTGTTTTGCATAACAAAAAATAATAATGCACGTTTTCAATTTTATTTATTACGTGCTTAGTTAATTTTCTAAAATTAAGCCAATGTCCAAAGTAATAGTCTTAAATATCTTGCGAATGCTAAACTGCTGTAAGTTTATAATACAGCAAAGTAATTTTGAAGTCATCCAACCATTCCGATGTATTACGAAATCAAGTTAAACAGTACTAAAGAAAAGTTTACTAGAAAAAAAACAATACTGTTAAAATGCTAGAAATATAAATGCTTTGACAATGACCAACAAATCAAAAAAGAGACATCCACAAATTTTGAGAACCAGACTTAAAAGAACAAAAGCGATGCGCCCAGAATGGCAAAGCGCACGTAAGCCACAGGGATGTCGTAACGATTACGTGACGACCCCAGTGACATGGTACCGGGAAAACCCACCATATGCGGTTGACTGGCGAGCGAAAGTATCCCTTATTACTAAGATGTAAAATTTAATTTAAACTGACAATTACAATACTTACTTTATCGGACCTAGTATTTGTGTAATTGTTTCATTATGTTTAAATTGGTAAGAAGACAGACAATTATCTTTCATTTATGTTCATGTCGTATTCACATTTATGATCCTACATTTACCTCGAAAGTAGCCCTATCGAAAAGAAAAATATATTCGTCGATTACATAAGAAATTATTAAGTCTGAGTGATACAAACATTCAGGCTATCGGGTTATCAGGCCGAATGAAAAAACTCTTACCTTTAATCACTGCAAGACGTATAAGTGTAGGTAGTAACTACGTTGAAGCCGTTTATTATTTTGCGTTTTTACTTGGTGCAACGGCAGCGAACCTGCTTTCTGATCCAAAGATCCTGGGTTTAAATGCTGGTAGGAGCTGACTCTTGCAAGATAAACATAGATACTTCTTACCGAGACACGGTTGTTGCACTAAGTATGATATTCATTAAATTATTCAAATGAAAATGAATCGCCGAAATGTATGTACTCGCGTGTCTTCCGAACGTCTACATCAAATTGAAGATTGATATATTTTTGTTGTGTTCGTGTTGTTCTTGTACAGGGTTTGTATAAAAAAATCAAATTAAAAATGGCGGCATGAAGTTCTCTGGGTTAACTAATTTAGTATAAATAGTGCAAGTTTTTTGCTAGGGATTAAATAAAATTAATGATAGTTGCTCGCAAATAATACTTAATATTCCACCTACCACAAAAGGTAGATTACTGTCCAGTTTAGGCACCCAATCGTTCACAGACACAAATTTTGACTAGTTTAAGTTAAAGACTGGGTGTTTTTACAGACACAAATTGATATACATATATCTTGGTGTACGTCCTCCTTGCGGGACTCGGCATGAACTAATCCAAATAATTAATTCCATTAAAACTGTATGGGCTTCTCTTCGTCTTCCAAAATTTTGCTAAGTTTTCATGCAAACACCCAATTCAATTGCGGCAGGAATGCATTTTTTTTGTGCGGCTTTATTTTGTTTTCCCCTCATGCTCTACATATTGATATTGTGTAGGTACTTTATTTTTCGTACACTCTCTATTTGGCGTTGGTGGGTCATAACTTATGTAAGTTGTGGATTTATTTTAAAAGTCTCATTATGTAAAAAAATAACTGCACAGTTTTGAATGGAAACGAGTTCATCGAAAGCAACCTTTATTGAGCAACTTGTACCACACGTTACTTCCTCGAAATAAGCACAAAAAATTAAGAAAAGCAAAATTTCCGTTTTAAATATCTATCTGCCTGAATCTAAAAGACTATACACTCTCTATTTTTAACCGATTTCAAAAAAGAAGGAGGTTCTGTGTTCGACTGTATATTTTTTTTATGTATGTTCACCGATTTCTCCGTCAATTGTGGACCGATTTCCAAAATTCTTTTTTTATTCGAAAGAGTACACTTCCGGGGTGGTCCCATTTGGAAACAAGTCAGGATCTGATGGTGGAACCAGGGGAAATCGAGGGAAACCTTCAAATTTCAAAGGCACGCTCGATTTTTGTTATGCATGTTCACCGATTTCTCCCTCAATTGTGTTATTGTTTACTTAGAAGATGTAATTTTCACTAAAATGGATGAAATATTTATTTTTTAACAAAAAATAAAACCGACTTTAAAATCGAAGATGAAGTAAAAAATAATATCTGGTTTATGATTTGGAAGTCGGGTGCGGTCAAGATTAAAACATTAAATAGATTTTCATTTCTGATCGGTAATAATACGTCTTTCAACCTTAACCGACTTCCAAACCATGAATCAGATATTATTTTTTACTTTTTAGTTCCATTTTCGATTTTGAAGTCGTTTTTTTTTATAAAATAAAATTCTACTTAAAAGGTAAAACTAGTCCAAACTTTGTAAGTTTGTCTTTATGGAGCAAACGCAAATGAGCATAAATTCACCATTAATCTAAACCAGCACGTTGATACGCTTGGTATGAAAAGCTACAATATTCATGAATAACAAACCATGCAAAGAAATATAAAATAAATAAAACTACAACGGGTAAAAACTTAATTACTTTTAATGATTTTTTTAATACTGACGTCAATTAGCCTAGCCCCAAAAGTAAGAACTGTAAAGCTTGTGTTATGAATTATGATAGATGATGCTAGGGTAACGGAAAGAATACATATTTTACTGGTCCTTATAAAAGTATATTTATCTAGAAATACATATAAACCTCCATAGCTTACGTAGAAATACTCGTATTCATCATACAAACGTTTGCCCCACCGGGATTCGAACCCGGAACCTCGGAGTAGGCGACACCTTAAAATCCAGTTTATTTTAACTTAAATATAGTCCTTTCTATAATTCCAGGAGAAAAGCATGCAGTGATCCACCATGGGTATACTAACTATTGTCACGACAGCTGCAAAATCCGCGCTGACCATCGCCGGGATTAGCAAGCTCGCATTCATCCCGGTTATGCTGGCAGCCATGGCGTACTTTAACTATGACCTCGTTGACCCGGAGAATCGGCCCTTCAATCAGAAGCAGCTAAGAGAGAAATACGACTTCATTATAGTTGGCGGCGGATCAGCAGGATCAGTGCTAGCCAACAGATTAACAGAAGTCGAAGGTTGGAATGTGCTACTATTAGAAGCCGGAGGTCATGAGACGGAGATAAGCGATGTGCCTTTGCTGTCACTATATCTGCACAAGAGCAAACTCGATTGGAAATATAGGTATGACCATTTTTTGCTGTGTTATTTCGTAGTTACATTTTTTTATATTATACATACATATGAGCAGACGCCTCACCTGAGCGTAAGTGATCATCGTCGTCCATAGACATCTGCAACATTATCATCATGCATTTATAAATTTCAGGACAGAGCCACAAGACACAGCATGTCAAGCGATGGTAGATAAACGATGCGGCTGGACTAAAGGCAAGGTCCTGGGTGGGTCATCGGTGCTCAACACGATGCTCTACATACGAGGGAACAAGCGTGATTTCGACCAGTGGGAGGCGCAAGGAAACCCTGGTTGGGGCTACGAGGATGTGCTGCCGTATTTCAAGAAGTCGGAAGACCAAAGAAATCCATATTTGGCTAAAGATACAAGGCATCATGGTACAGGTAATCCAAAATTTTGTTAATGTCCAAAGTTTTTAGTAGATGGTCTTTTTGATCAGGGGTCGAAGTAATGTGTGGATCGATATTACTACTCATCGATAGTTCATTTCATCTGGGGGCTCAGTAGAGATAACCAAAACGTACCTTTTCTCGTAGCACTTCGTTTTTTTGACGCTTCGTTACTACATGAACTATTGTATAACAGAAAAATAATGAACAGTGGATAAATTTTTCACCTTTAGTTCATGTGAATGTAGCGAAATGGCGAAGCCACATATTTAAACTAAGAGTTTGTGAAGTTAGGCATTGTAGAGTTAGAAGCTTGGCTGTACATGAGATCAGATAAGTTTTTGACTGTGCATAAGGGATCGGCATTACTTTACATGAAAATGTTTTTGGAGGGATTTAATTTAGTTAAAAGTGACAAATACAGATTGTCTCTCCGAGTGCGGTTATACATCAAAGTATAGGACGTGTACTTAACACAAAAGGTAAATTTGAGAACGCCTGAATGTTCATTACGGCAAATATTTTAAATTACTGTTTTGCTGAAATTTAACATAAAGACATTCGATTGAATAAGGCTTATCGACTTATTCAACCAATATTGTTGTATTTAAAATTTTAACAAATGTTGCTCGATGATATTTTACGCTCAATAAAAAGTGTTTCGATGAAATATCTATCAAACGGGCTTCGAAATGTAACGCAAAAATAATCAAAAAAAATCAGTGAAGAGCGTATTTTAAAATCTGGCACGGGCCCGTGTTCCTAATATTGGCCCTAGGACTTAAAATTCCAAAAAGTTCATCCATGTGTATAATTTAATACAATAGTTATATAACTGTGGCTAAATCCTAGTAGTTTTTTATAAAAGATTAGATAAACAAATTTTTGCCCAGCATAAAAATATCATAAGTTTTATAGACGTAAACTAACTCCAAATTCATTATGTAGTTATTGCGTGATTGAGTAAATATGAATTTTTGAACTTATTGTATTCGAAACTTTTAGTAGAATCCTATTTTTTATATTTTAATATTACATTGTAATTTTTTCCCTAGGTAAGTTATTTTATCTAACTCGTGGTTTCGTAACCTAATCTCCATAATGTTATTGCTTTGCTGTAATCGAAATTTAGTTTTATTTTATAAGAAATACCTACTAAACTTCTTTTTATATGAAGTTTTAAAACTTATTTTGGCCTAAGTCATGGTCAGACAATTATAAGGCAACATTGAAAATACTAACCAGTTTATTTTTATTAAAATTTGTAATTTTACTCATTTATTTTGTTATTGTTATTACGATAATAATCGTTGTAGAGTTACGGGTGTGTACAGTACAATCGTGTAAACTACTCTATTTTTTTCTATTTTGTGTCCTCATTTTTATTTTCTTGTCCCTCGGTTATAAATAACAATTTAATCATCATGTTCGTTATTGTGATATTAAAGTAAAGCATATCTACTTTCCTTATAAACTTCAATAATTATTTTCAGGTGGATATCTGACAGTTCAAGATTCACCTTACAACACTCCAATTGGAGCTGCTTTCCTTCAGGCCGGAGAAGAAATGGGCTATGACATCTTGGACGTCAACGGCGCGCAGCAGACTGGCTTCAGCTGGTACCAGTTCACTATAAGGAGAGGAACTAGATGTTCCGCCGCTAAGGCCTTTTTGCGACCAGTTAGACTGCGGCAAAATCTCCATATAGCTCTCTTTTCGCACGTTACCAAAGTGCTGATTGATAAAGACAGTAAAAGAGCATATGGCGTTGAATTCATCAGAGATGGCACACATCAAGTGGTCTACGCAACCAAGGAGGTAATATTATCAGCTGGATCTGTCGGCTCTCCACAACTACTTTTACTGTCTGGCGTTGGCCCAGAAGATCATTTAAGAGAAGTCGGCGTTGATGTAATACACAATTCTCCTGGGGTAGGAAGAAACTTGCAGGATCACATAGCAGTCGGTGGTTTGGTATTTCAAATAGACTATCCAATTAGTTTAGTAATGAACAGATTAGTTAATATAAATTCGGCTTTAAGATATGCAGTAACAGAAGACGGTCCCTTGACTTCAAGTATAGGTTTAGAAGTGGTAGCTTTTATAAATACTAAATACGCCAATTCCTCAGATGATTGGCCTGACATTGAATTTATGATGACGTCATGTTCAGTGCCTTCAGACGGTGGAACACAAGTAAAGAAGGCCCACAGTCTCACAGATGACTTTTATGAAGAAGTATTTAGAGAAGTAACGAACAAAGACGTGTTTGGTATCTTCCCTATGATGCTTCGTCCAAAGAGTCGAGGATTCATAAAGCTCCGATCTAAAAATCCTTTGGAATACCCCATTATGGTACATAATTACTTGACACATCCAGATGACGTGGGAGTTTTGAGAGAAGGAGTTAAAGCTGCTGTTGCTGTAGGAGAAACACAGGCTATGAAACGGTTTGGGGCTCGGTTTCATAGCAAACCACTTCCGAATTGCAAACATTTGCCTCTGTTTACGGACGATTATTGGGACTGTTTGATTCGTCAGTACACTATGACCATTTACCATATCTCGGGAACGACAAAAATGGGTCCTTCTAGTGACCCAATGGCAGTACTTGATCCACAGCTACGAGTGTATGGAATAGAAGGCTTACGAGTAATTGACGCAAGTATGATGCCTACAATAACAAACGGCAATATTAACGCTCCCGTTATGATGGTAGCTGAGAAGGGAGCTGATCTGATAAAAGAAACATGGATAACGAGTAAGCGAAAGAGAAGATCTTTAAAATGCGCAAAATTCGACCTGTCAGGAAATAGTAAGAATGACAGTCAATGTAGAACGAAGAGATGACGCAATATTTAAGTAAAATATCGATAGGCCATATGATTTTAACAATAAAAAATAGAGCTTCAAGATGATGAACTAAGAAATATATACCAATGAAAAGTTGAAGCTTTATTTTTTGTTGTATTTAATAAAATGTAAATATTACTTCATATAAATGTGGATTACTGTATAGTTACCAATCTAGTCTCTTTATCACAAAATACAACTACAAATACTTATAGTGGATGGGATAATGAATAATTTTGACGTAAGTTTTGTAAAGTGATAAAATTAATTGTGTTGTTAAGTTGTAATTTTTCTACACATTGCACTATTACATCTTAAAGCAGCTATATGAGCCATCAGATTCCATTAAAGTAGGTGTTATCAGTTTTTCTCCGATAGGAATAGAACTAGATGATACCAACCTTGTAGACAGAACCAAGATATTTTATTGAGAAGCTTTAAGTGTTCAGTAACTTTTTGTAAAAGCTATCATGAACATAGCGAGAAAGTGCAGTTATATCGATATGGATAGGCAGAGCTAACTGTTTTTAAGCTTTGAATGGATTACTATAAGATTCACAATCTATAGAAAAACTCTGTCAGTTTAACTTCACTTGATGTATGGCTTTCCGTGCATGCCTAACGCCTGGCTGCTACCACATACAGATGTTGAATTCTATCAGTTTTGCTGAAACAGTAGTACCAGGTTTAGCTTTTATTAGAGCAACCACGATGGTAGATTTCCATAGGTTATAAGAAATTATTAGGTGTCTTAGAAATCCGTTACTAGCGTTATTGTGTTTATAATAGTTCGTATGATGTTTTTATAAGTATACTCATAATATTATAGTAAGCACATCGGGTTACTACAAAATATATGTTTTATTCAATCGATTATGATTCTTATATTAAAGGTCTATGTAATAATGTATTAATGGTAGAGATATAAAAAAGTGACAATGAATGAGCTTGCTTCTATACCGAAATTGGTTTTAAGGTCATTGTAGACATATAAACTCAGAAAGGGATCGTCAGCTTGTCCCGAGGCGAGGTGATAACGTTACGATTCCGATTAGTATGCGTTGCAGTAGCGTGTTTTACAAAAAAATAACGACGGGTTGCACTCCGGGAGTGCCGGCAGAAGTGAAAACTTGAATATTAACTTTATTAATTTTTGATATTTTGGAATGGTTAGGGAATAATTTTGAACGAATTGCTTTAATTATCAGTATAAAAGTACTATCATTTATGTGGTAAAATATAATATTTATTTATTGCGCTATCGTACACAAACATAACAATTTATATTACATTAAAAAGTTAATCTCTCATAAAAATCAACTTACATGAATCACATTTAAGCGCACCTAGCGACAGCTGTTGTAAAAAAATGCATTTTCTTCGCAATAAATCTGCCACCTGGACGTCCTAGATAGAGATTTATTATTTTAATACGATAAAATAAAATATTACTATGTTTCGTCCAATATATTGAAAGTCAACAAACTTTCTAATTTTATTGTTTTCGCCTTACGCCACGTGTCCTGACGCGAGCTTAACATTTTTTACCCATTACAAAAAAAGTGTACAACGTAAGAAGTTTTCACTTCAAAATACTGAACGTCTTGAGTTGATACGGTGACGATCCCTTACAGAGTTGATATGTCTGCTGGTACAATTTCGCAATGGGCTGCAGGCGACAACCGCAGGCGACACAGCGGCTAGCGCCTGCGGCGAGACTACTAGTTTCTATTAATCTCTATGAAAGTGATTCCGAGTGCTGCCCAATGCATATAATGCACGGTCAATCGCAGGCGCCTAGCCTCGCCGGCAGCCCATTGCGGAATTGTAACTTTAAGCTAAAAGTTTAGTATTCACTACCAAGCACAGTATCAACAATAATAGACTTTGCTTTAAGCGTAAATATAAACAGTGTCACCAATGTTGAGTTAAATAATGTTACATTTACATAGATAAAACCTGTTTTATTATTATTTATTGGGGTCTTTTAATGTAAAAAAATAATACACCAAAAGATTTAAGTTATATTACACTATTTTTATGTCGAATGAGGAATGCAAAAAAACATGTAGCGTATGAAAAGTAATTTTTACTACCTCATATTGGTTTTGATGATATTGTCAATTGACGACGAATTTTACATTAAGGATTTGTTTCTAGAAATATAAAGAATAAGTGTTTGTTACAAACATTTGTGTTTGGCAGTGATATTCTGTAAACTTTTTAGGCGCGGATATATTGGAACCGCATGGATCCGATGCGGATCCGCGAGTGAAAATTTTACAGAATATCACTGCAGCCTTAAAATAACTTACCACTTTTTTTAGGAGGAGATTGTAAATAACCTACCACTATTAGGAAAATATACACGACAATAATAAAATAACATACCTACTTATTAAATTAAATAAAAAAATCTCCTATTTTTGTTTTAATGAAAAAACGGCCTTTCCTACTTGTTTGACTTAGATTAGAAGGAACCGACGTCCTAAACTATGATAATGGAAATTTTCACAGTTACTGTTATTTTATCATCAAATTACTAAACTACTGGTACTGGAGGAATCCTTGTCATATATGAGCGTACGTACTGTGTCCCTATAGCGGTGGATAGCTGAACTAAACCAACGTCTTGAGTTCTAAACAACCACAGAAAAAAAAAACTTCAAATCCTTTTAAATCAGAATAATACTACGGATCAATTTGGTCCATACTTTAGTTAGAATATTGGTCCATACTTTAGTTAGATTATGACCGTACTCTAAGTATAAAAACCGCCATCTATCGTTGAGTAGAGAAAGGGTTTGCTGAAGATTCTTTATTTTTCTGAACTTACTAGCAATCCGCCCCGGATTTGCACGGACGAGTTTCATTTTAAGACAATACAATATAGCCTAACATAACTCAGGGATAATGCAGCATTTTAACGGTGAAAGAATTTATGAAATTAGTCCAGTATGTTTGGCTTAATTTGACATATTATATGTATGAGTTGAGAATGCGAAAAATTACAGTAACAGTCATTACCTATAATTAATTCCCTTTAATTTTTACCCCGTAAGAAATAAGTTTGTAACGGCTATAACAAGTTACCTAAATGATTTTGTTAATGAGGGGAAATAACAATTGTTGCTTAGTGTAATACTGTTAGTAAGACTATTCTGCAAGTAACCAGTTTTCTACTTCGTAAAAATTATAAAAGCTAAAAGAAGAAAACAAGGTCCATGGTAGCAATCCCGCCAATAACTATAATGTTAGTGACCATGAAAGTTTAAAACGATAAAGTAATTAAAGAATATATGGGAAATTAGATTTTAAAAGATAGGTTACTTCCCCAAGTAACTTCAATTTCACAAAAGATTACTGTAAATTGATACTTCTTTTTGCTAGTTTCATGTGTAAGGTTTATTGTATTCAGGAGAAGGTTCCAGGTATAAAAATAATAGACCAATACTTAGATGTCCACCGTCGCCTATTTAATCAAATGTCAACTTATAACAAGTTAATACGGTGGAACTCGTAAGTGTTACCTAACTGATCGTGGCATCCCGTTGTGGAACAATACCTTGTCCAGCGCTGTCATCATTTTGTCACATCACTTACGAAAATGAGATGTTATGCAATGTTGGCGTAAGTTCCTACGTATATTATTTTTTGATTTCGGATGTAATTTTCCTATATAGGTATTTATAAGTGGTCGATATCGTTTGTCTATTTCGAGATTTATGCTTTGTCTTAATCATTCTCCTGCAGGAAAAAGTGTCGACGCTTCTCAACCATTTCTTTATGAGCATCCTTCAACATTCATATTCAATACTTATCTAATATAATATGTGGTTTTAAATTTTTTCTTACAGAGTGCTTCTAAATTCTTCTATAATTTCTACGATCCTATAAAGTTTGCTCACTGAAGACATTTTTCGGATTCACTTAAATTAGTTTCAAAATCCCTCCTTTCATTCTTTTTAAACATATTTTTTTTGTAGAAACACCTAATAGATTTTGTTCACGTTAATGCGAAATTGTAAAATAAGATATTATCACAGAAAACACATTATGTGAATTCAAAGTATTAGCTAGTAACTATTAGTTAAATTCTTAAATAATACATACTTAAGTACATTCAACATCAGACCTTTTGTACAATCAAAGCGCGTCCAATCCAAGACTTCATGCCATGACATTTAACCGATACAAAAAATCAAAGTCATGCGTAATAATTTAGGGACGATTTTAAAAGTCACAAACAATAAATGTCTGATGTTCCGATAGCTGCACAAAATACTAAATAAGTAAATGACACATTTCTTAAGTAACCAATACAAAGTATAAATACCAACGACCATAAGTCTTAAGAAAAAAAAGGAAACCATATCAGGTTTATTTCTTTCTTAAGACTAGTGGTCGTTTGCATCAAATTTAGGAGATTGATGGTTCAAAACGCCTAAATTAAAGACACTTATAACTGAAAAAGGCCTAGTTGTTTGATACATAGTGTTAAATGTGACTATTATGGTGAAATGTAGGTTTTGGTGTAAACGGCCAAATTATTGTCCTGTACAAACTGACCCATAATTAATTAATCTAATGAAAGATTAATCTTTTTAAAAATATATATCTTAGGAAATAAATTTTAAAATGCTACCCATTGAGCGCTAAATTTTAAAAACGCCTTAGCTGTACGGTACCAGTTTGAAGCATAAAGTAAGAGAGGTAGGGCTCAGCGGATATCTCGCTTTAATTGGAGCGTCCGTCTGGGAAAGCAACTTCCACCCAACAGAAAATCACAGTAAAATAATACTTTTGTTGGTATTTTTTTAAGCATTTAACTGTTAGATGTTTTAATCTACAGAAATTTTACTAGAAAAAATTTCACGCTGACCAGGCAGCAGACAGGACTCGAGTCCGCATCCTTCGCTATCCGCTATAGTGAGTAGGGTGTCTGGACTCCGCGGGGTAGGGGATTTGGTTCAGGCCAGCTAGGTGAGGATAGCTGGAGCGGTACAGCTTCTGCCGCATCAATCTTAGCGACTCATATCGAACTAGGTTTAGTGTCGTGGGCTCTCGTACTAGTAGGATAACACATTTTAACAAATGTAGCGAAAAGCTGTGTGACCTCATTTCTTAAATCACAACTCGTCTTTAACGTTACAAAATCGCCACGTAACATCGTGGCTAAGCTAAGCAACTTGTTCTAGGGAATTATGTAAATAGCACTGGCAGTACTATTTCACTTATTATGAGAAGCCTAAGTGCAAGTTCTGAGTGGTCTTTGCAGTTTCACTCGTTTTGTTATGTGTGCTATACTAATGATAACCCAGTTAAGAAAAGACTTCTCTAATCCTGCGCAAGACGTAATACACGGTTATGATTTCGACATTGAAACACATGTTATGGTCAAAATCATTTGGAAGCTTGGATTGCATTAAGAAAATAAAAAATAGGGTTAGAATTTTTTGTATGGATGCAGAAATTTGCTAGCGTTAAAACACCCAGTAGTATTATATGGGTTAGCGCGGACCAAGTCGCAGGCGGAAGCTACTTGGACTATAATTATTAAAGCAACATGGCTATGGCAATTATCTATCTAAGGATTGTATTTTCGTCCGATGTCACTTCCTTATTGTAAACCTTATTACTGGTGTAACAAGCTTCAAATCAGGGAAGTAATAAACGCGATCTCTCTAGCGGCCATCACTGGGTGTCGCTTCTGCACCACGTGCCGTGATGAGGAAATTGTAAAGACGTGCCTTTGATATAAGCGTTACGTATAATTTTCTATAGTAGGGAACCCAAGCTGGGATAAATTCGAGTGCGATCAATAGTAGGGAACCCAAGCTGGGATCTATAGTAGGGAACCCAAGCTGGGATAAATTCGAGTGCGATCAAAGAGGGGCCATCATGCACCCTGTGAAGTCCTCCCACCATACCTGAGCCCTTTGATTATTCCTTCATACGGGGACGATCCCGGCTACAGGGCCAGGTTAAATTTTAAATAAGAGCAAACGGGAAGTATTTTCTTCTTACGACCAAAAATTTATTTTTTCCAAATCGGTTCATAAGTAAATAAACCAAATCAACAAAGTCAGTATAGCGGTGGTACCTCAGTGATTTAATTCTAGCCTCACATCCGTGGGTCGTGCGTTCAAATCCCAGCAACCTACCCATGGATTTATCGGAATCTATGTACGGATTAATAAATACCACTTAATCAATGGTAATGGAAAACATCGTGAGGAAACCTGCACATTCAGATAACGATGGATGTTTAGTCATGATCTAAAAAATGGTCTGGTTCCCCTGTTCAAGGGTACGGAGGTCAGATGGCAGTCGCTCAAATGTAATTTACCCAGACTTGCCACATCCAGGATCATGGTCAAGCGTACAATGACTAGAAAAAAGAGACTAACAAAATCGGTCGAATTGAACTAATATATCGCTTAATAACGAATCCATGTGGATGACGTATCCATTTGTTGTGCAACAAAACCGGATGGATGGATCATGCAGAAAATAAATAGGTATCTATCGCAAAATACAATTAAAAATAAGGTGACGAGATTCATTCAAGCAATAGGGCGTGAAAAAGGCGAAAGCCATTTTATCAATTTTCCTAAGAACAGTGTGGAAGTGATAATCACCGAGCTATTTAGAGATCCACTACTGATTTATTACAACGCCACTAAAATTCTAGTTCTGACAAGCATCGATGAATATGCAGTTTTCAGTGTCTCCATTTGTTGTAAACCAAAACCTTCTTTAGAATGTAACAAATACTATAATATTGATATCATCATCACCATCATCATGCTCCTCATAGGTCTCCCCTAATGCACGCCACTGCTCCCGATTTTCTGCCACTCTCATATATTTATATGTATATAATGAATTATATACTATTTATATGATAAGATGATGATACGGCTGAATACCTAAGCTTAAGTTTGTAGAGTCTATTAAGGGACAGTTTTGTGAGTTACTATTACTATAAGCAAAATAAGAAAACAATAAAAATGAGAACAACAAGTTTTGTATAGTAATATGAAACAAAACTTAGAAATTCTTACATTTATTGACACTGTCATATCGTAGAAAGAATCATGAACCATAGTGAAATTACTGTATGTAATATCTGTTATTTTCTAAGGATAGGTGTGATAACAAACTCGCTGTATACCGAACCACGTCTCGGATCTAGCCGTCTAAGCGAATTGTTGTTGAATCAAGTAAACGCCCAAGTTTCACTTTCACTCGGAGGCTGCGTGATTATTACTTCTCGTACCAGCTTACCAATTTTAGCTGAATTTTGTGTTGGTCTCATAGGCAAGTGCCATATTTTCTATCTTTATGTACTTCTAAACTTATCCACCTTCCTATTAATCCATACTAATATTATGAAATTAATTAAAAATTAATGTGAA